CGAGACTAGGTGTGGGGCGAGGGCCGGGTGCAGGGGCCCGTTCGACTGGGAGGCTCGCACCCCCCCTCCACCGTCTTTAGGTCTCCTGAATGCCACTGGTCTGGTGGGTCTCGGGCCGTCAGACCTGGGAAGGTGGTGCCGTCTGACACGCGCTTCCCGCTGTCTCCTGAAAGGGGCCTGGCCCTCCTCAGGCCCTTTGTGTGACTTGGGGGAGTCCTGCCCCATCCAGAGCAGAACCCAGGCCAGGGCGAAGGGGGAAGGCCTCTGAGCTTGGCCTTGGCAGGGTCCACAGGGGGACGCTCCGACTCCTGCGACCTTCTGGCGCCAGAAGGAGCTTGTGGAGGTGCGGGGAGGAGGGTGTGGGCTGGGCCTGGGAGGAGGAAGGAGGGAGGGAGTGGGGGCGCGGCGGGTCCTACCTGCATCCCGATGACGGCGTAGATGAAGAAGAGCATCACGATCAGGAGGGCCACGTAGGGCAGGGCCTGGAAGGGCACAGACACTGTGAGGCCGGGCGGAGCGGGCTGGCCACACCCCCACCCCGGAGCGCGTCCCCCAGCCACGGCTGCTGCCTGGCTGGGGGCTGTTCCGGGAGCCCCACAGGCGATCTGGGCACCAGGGCGAAGGCTGAGCCCTGTTGCTGACCCCTCGCCTCACCTGGGTTTCAAGCACCTGAGAAGCAGTGGGATGGGCCCAGGAAAGTGGGTGTGGGGTCACATTCCTCAATACGTCACTCCCGCCGCACACCTGTCCTCGTGTGGCTGGGCTGGGGGCTTGGGGGACACACACCAGGCTTTCCCTCCCCCTACACAGCTTTAAGCTGTCCCACCGGGTGTGATAAAGGCGTTAGTAAGGGAAATGTAACAACAGCGAGAGCCTGGGCTCAGTCCCGTTTCTGCCACCTCCTCGCTGTGGGAGCTTGGCCACGTGCCTAACCTCTCTGAGCCCCGGTTCGCCTCATCTGGAAACTGGGAAGAAGAGTGATGACCTCAGAGGGTTTGTGGCGATTCGGGGTTTACAGCTCACTAAACGCTCCGGGCAGTGCCCTGCCTGCTGCTGGTCCCCGGCGTTTTATTCACTCAGCCGCTCAGCCTGGGGGAGGCCTCGAGGGCTCACAGCGGCTGTGCACCCAGCCCGCACACCACTAGGTGGCGTCACGGGACCGGGCGTGCGCCCTGCCTGGTGGGCGTTCCGGGCCCCTTCTGAGCCCAGAGAATGTCGGGGGTGGGTGAGTACATGGGGTCTGTACAGTCACCCCCGGCTGTGGGACCCGGGCCCACCCCCATCAGACTCCTCAGATCCCCAGGGACGGGGCAGGTGGGGAGCGAGCCCGTTACTGGGAAGACCCCTGGCCTGGCCGGGTGGAAGGGGTGCTGCGAAGAGGGCGGAGGCTGGGGGCTGCCCTGGGGGGCTGCCGGGAGCACGTGAGCCCTCCCAGCAGAGCCCCTTCCTCTGCCTGCAGCCCGTTTGGATCAGGACCCACCCATCCTCGTCCCTGAGCAGCAGCCTCGGGCCAGGGTCCGCGCACCACTGCCCTCAGAAAATTCCCATGACCCAGCGGCCTGCCTCTTTTAACTCCCGCTTGCATAACTCTCCCCAGAGACGCCGGGCAGCGTCATTCTTCTTCTACAGAAGGAAAACGACTGCCGGGGGGAGAGAATTAATCCTGCAGTTGGCAGCCCACGCCCACGTAGGGGACTGCCTCTCCCCGAGGCCCGGGGTCTGACTAAGGCCGTGGGCAGACCCTGCCGCAGTGCTCCTAGGCCGAAGGCAGCGGTCAGACCGCCTCCGCCCACTCTCAGGCCTCTCCCACCACAAAGCCCCTTGGGGAGGGAAATTCTTGAAGAAAACACACAAGAGAGAGAAGGCAGAACCTTCTCCACCTCCCCTTGGCTCTGGGGGCGTGCGGGGCCCTCTCCCGGGTTGGGGGGCGGGGGCTACCTGGAAGGACTTGATGAAGGTCCACAGCAGGGTCCGGATGCCCTCCCCGCGGCTCAGCAGTTTGACCAGGCGCATGACCCGGAAGAGGCGGAAGAAGGTGATGGAGATGCGGGAGTTCTCCTCCGCGTTCTGGGGCCGTTGGCAACAGGAGGTGGCAGTTAACACAGCAGAGGGGCCCGCGGGGAGGGCCTGCCCAGCCACGCGGCCCGGCG